TACTCATTACTGAGTCCTTTTTTGACACTTTGATTTCTGTTTTGGGGGGGTTTTCGGGTTTTTTTGAGCTATGGTAAACTTTTGATCAGCTGAAAAAATCATGTTTGAGTGTAAATGCAGTTTTCAGAAAATTCCCTGCTCAAAAGTTCTTGTCTCTTGAACTGATTTCTTCTTTTAACATTGTGAAGCTCTACTTAGAACCTTCTTCAGATCCAATAGTGCAAAATGCAAATTCTTGCACTTTTTTGACTGGTCTTAAAATTTTAATCAGGAGTGTATTATACACACACACACACACACACACACACACACATTACACATAACATATAGAGCAAGCATATTGGTGTTTTACCTGTGTCCATTGAGCGCAGCATGGTGTAGTGGTGTGTATCCTGAGCTGTCTGTGCAGTTCACATTCAGGCCCTTCCACATGCTGTGGGACAGACACACATCTCAGTTAATGTTTTATTAAATTAACACTTGTCTGACCACACACTTTCACATCTTTTGAGAAAGCCTTTCAGATTACCACAGCCTCAAAAATCTGTGAGAATAAAACTGAGATATACAGAGCTTATACATACGAGAGCAACAACTTTCCCCAGAGATGTAATTATATGATCTCCTTTTTAACATGAAAATCAAGGCCAAAGTAAAATAAATGACACAATTAAATACCACCCTGAACAGCTACTGGGATGAAACAACCTGAAACTTCAAGTGATTTTTATTAAAGATGAAATGCAAATGTCTGCACTTATTTACATACTAGGCAAAGCAAGACTTTTTGATTTAATTGAAGACAAAACGTCCCTTAATACTGAATGTCCTTTTTGATTCTGTTTGAAAATGACTCAAATAAAATCTATAATACTAAAGTTCATAAAATTGTAATTTAAAGTATTTCATTAAAAAGTCTGGAAACATGTTATTCTTCCTCCAACCTAATCCTCTTCTAAAAAGAATAGTTTTATAGATTTAATTTTCATACATGAATATCAATTTGACTGCTCGTTTTTTACTGACAGTCTGAATTTAAAGTGCATTTCGTCCATTGAAAGGCTGAAGAAGTTTGCAAAAATGTTAAGCAGCAAAACATTCATAGAGTTTCATCAACACAATGRAGGCAGATTGATTTTAAGGCATAAGTCAAAACCCAACTTGTGTCTTCTCTCTGAGATGAATGCAGTATCAAAGCATTGTTTGATTTATTCAGACTAACACATCATTAAAAKAACAGTACTGAAAAAATAATCAGTTCTCTTCAATAAAATTTCTATAATCAGTAAAGGATGAATTTCTATTGAAAAGAGAAAAAAACACCGAAATAAGCAGCAGAGAGATCTGACAGCCAGAGAACACAGAAAGCTTGTTTCAGGGATCCTGGGTGTTTGTGTGTGTTCATATCGATCAATGCTTCACTACTGACCCCTTTCAGCTCTGACCTCCAGCACAAAACCAGGAGGRCTGCCTGTTAAAAAGAGCAGACAGAGCAGGAGAGAAGAAGAGGACAGCAGGCTGGAGGTAAAAACGTGAGGAAGCCAGAGAGGTAGATCTGAAGACTGAGATTTCACTAGAATCACATATAATGAAAAAAAGGAAAATAAAACGTGTATTTGTATCTAATCTATAAAAGCAACTTGTGAGGATATTTGCGTTTTTCTTCTTGCATCTCCTCTGAAAAATAATTTGGCGCACAAGCTCCTGGCAGAACTTTTTTCTTGCAGAGGTATGTGCCAAGTTTTATGTGATTGGTCAGAAGGTCGCGGGCGTGTTTATATTAAAAAGTGGGTTAACTACAGTGCTCTGCTGAGGATCTGGCTGAGGTTGTTAGGAATAACAGCCAGATAGGTGGCTATCTGGTTGGCAAGATGGCAAGATATTCAAAGAACTCGTAGAAGGATGTTTTTTGTGCACAGAGGAGACAGCATGRAGACACAGGCGGCTCTCCATGGCTGTGCTGTCTGGAGGGTGTACACCTCTACAGGACAGTGTAGGGTTACTTTCTTGCACCGTCTGTTGGATACAGGTGAGTTCTTATAACAAAAATGAAAATTAGCTTTTTTCCTGCGGTTAACAACAGAAACACCAAATATACGTCCTCCATAACTCCTCCATCATCAACTGAAAATAAGCACCCACTCAGCCAACCAACCGTGTTTGCACATGACGTGTTTTGCAGTGGGAAGGTTTACCAGAAGTTTCCCTACAGTTTCCATTCCAAGCACACACAAGCATCTACTGTCAAAGCTTTTTATCTGTTTAATCGCATTCTCAATTACACTTAAGTAATTTAATGCAATGGTATGTTCAGCTCTTAACTCTTTAAACACAAAAAACTACCGGGAACACAGGTTGTGCAGTTTACACAACTAAGCTGTTTTTTTGTACCTGGAATGAACAAAGTAGGCCTTGAACACCCACACACACTTTAAACAGCCAGCCTATACAACAATATATCAAATGCCACAAAAACCTCAAGACTGTATCTCCGCTTCACACGCACAAACACACCCTATTAACAAACAAGGACAGCAGTCAGGCCTCAGCTGTTGCACAGACAGACATGTGTTTGTTTAGGCATGAGTGAAACTTATTTTCCTGTGTGACAATAATATTGCTGTAAAGACCAGACCCCAACAAGGTGTTGTGTTTACTAATGTTTCCATACAGTGGAGTCTGTTAAAAAATGCTTTAAATAATATGCTGGCATTGCTCAGTACAGATCCAACATTTTAGGGTTAGCTGCTTTTGAAATTGAAAAACTACAACTCTTTAACAGCATAAAATGTGTACAGACGATTTTAGATAAGTTCTGAAATTTGCATTTTCTACACAGAGAAGCTAATTACCTTTTGAGTCAAGCTGAGGTTTCAAACCTTTAAAACACTATACCAATTTAAAACATGGTATTAAGCTTTCCACAAATACAAACCTAAATCCTGTAGAAAAATTGTAAACTAACACTAAAATACAGTTTTGTGCCAGGAAACTGACTCATTTAAATGAACTCTGAAAGAAGTGGTCAAAACATCTACCTAGAATTGTGTCGGAGAGACAATTTGGACACCGTTTGCTAAACGACATTTAACCAAAATGAGTGAGCACATTGGTATTTTGGTATATTTGAGCCTGCATGTATAATTTAGRCATTGTGCGAATTAGAAATAATCTATAATAAATTCAAACCGGTGCAACAAATTGCTTTTACTTGTCTTTCAATCATCCTAAAACAAAGAYTAAAAGCAACACAACATATTCAAGGTGATGGATCTGACAGCAAGTGTAAATGTCTGTCCGCTGTAGCCAAAAAATACTAAAATAAGATTGTAAATGTTAAAAAAATAAAATAAAATACCACACACACATACTACCAGTAATAGCTTGGTGAATCATTTTCTGATGTTTTTCTTATCAGACTTGTTCTGCTCCTCCATGTTCTCCCACATCGACTCTGATGCCCAGTCAGCTTTTCATTGTTTTCAGTATAAGCATGAACATTTCCAGCAGAGTTTAAATAGAATTAGAAAGCAACTTGAGACTTTAGATATCAGAGGAGAGTTGCTGCAGAGTCACGGTGGATTAGCCAAATTTGCAGACATCGCTCTACCTAATTAACCTGTGAGGAGAGAAATTTAAATGTGAAGCTAATGCAATGGTTTTCCTTTCTTATGTGCTTCTGTCTCAGGATCCTGCAAGAAAARTCAAGTGTTTTCCCATTTCAAATGTTTCCTACTCAATCCTTCCTTTCTCAGGTTCAAACTCTCATATGTTCAATAAATCTCTAAAAGTTAGAGGTCAAAAAGGCATCCCAGCAGGCAGAGCAATGCTGCCCTCTGTTTGAACCCTCCTTCATTACTCCGACACTTTCTCCCTGCACGTACAGGAGGATTGCGCACACACATCGGGAAAAAAATAAATCAGAAAACTCAATGTTTTAGTTTGTTTTTAAAGCCACCCCTTTCAGAAAACTAATTTATCTCAAGCAGTGAAAAAAATCAGCAAGCAGGTGTCTAACGTKCTCTATTAGCTCTCAAAAGTGTCATTTACTATCAGTCTCTTGAAAGAAAGATCTGTAATGTCATTAAAGTGGTACAAAATGTTTTATTGTGCAACAAACGTTTTGTAACTTGAGAAAGCTTTTTATTTCCTGGTTCTCAGGATGGATATTAAATCTGTCATTGTGTTACAGTGAAGCTCAGGCAACATCACAGTAAAAGGGTTCGCCATCAAACTGCAAGAAGTGAAGCAACTGGAGAAAGCCTTCATAGTTCTGAGTTTTGCTTAATGGAAAGAAAGGTAAGCCCGACAAATTCATGAGCTTGTTGGAACTCATGCAGCCGAATGAAACAAAAATCAAAAGCGGAGGCAGGAACCAAGGGCTCGACATCAACAATAACTACACGGGAAATCAAAAAGGGAACCAAGACGAGGTGAAGCACAGTCACTATCAGAGCTGATAAAGCCAAACAGGAAGTGGGCTTGCTTCATATCCTGTTTTGAACAAGAAGCAAAAGAGATACCTTCTTATTAAGAGCAGTATTGCAGAAACAGTAACTGATGATTAAACAGAACGATGCACTCAGATGAATGTGCACTGTCTGACTCAGAGTCAGTCCTACATCCATGATGCTTTGGGGCATGGGAGGTTTTGTTGTCACACTCTGATGTCCCATGCAGGTGTGCAGCTTTGGATAAGGCTTATGTAATCCTGTGTGTGTTTTCATGTGAGATCAGCTCAGCAGCAGAGAGGCAGTTATGGAGCAGAGTGTGTGGAAACTCAAAAGGGCAATTACAATCTGAAGAATGAACACTGAATCAACCTCATTTCCCCTTTTGATTTTTTTTTTCACGTTTCTTTTCTCGGTTTATCCACCTGATACGAACAAATGTGCTTGGTAGAGGTAAAAATGCTCCAACAAACCTGCAGCAAATACAAGAAGGTGGGAGGAGGTATCACATAAATAGACAGCAGAATCAGCTATAWTTGCTTACTTCCACGACAGAAAAGCCACTTAAGGAGTTATTAATGGGCCTTACATATACATCTTTTTCCCCCCAATAGTATCTGCACACTGTAATGGTCTCAGTGCATTTCTGGCATTAAATCAAGCACAGCAATTGTGCTTTTCTKTAAGAAACAGCCCAATTACTGGTTGCATTTGCAAATATTCTCCACAGAACATTTAAAGTGTATCTTAACAGGAGCGGCAGGTCAACAGACGATCATGCTAAGCTTGCTACCTGTTCCACCCTCTGACTGCTGCAGGGGCGTGTCTTAGAGAGAGGCTTTTATACCAGAACACAGCCGCTGTGACGAAACCGTGGAGAAGACACGTCACCGTGGAGAGCCGTTAACCAATATGCAAATTAGCCGGCAGTACCACTGCTCTACCCATATGAGCAGCAAAAAGACGTTTTTAGACCAAATAT